AACCCAGGTAGTCTGGCTTGAGAGCCCAAGCCCATGCCCCTACACAAAGTGCCCTAGAAAGTTTAACACAGCTGTTGTTCCCTCAGGATTAGACCAGAATCTTTCTTCAACTGCACAGCAGATGAAGCAGTCTGTGCTGAGTGAGCATGCTCTATGGAAAACATGTTTCTTTCTCTCTTCCTCTCTTTCTTTCTCTCTTTCTTTCTTTCTTTCTTTCTTTATGGCCAAGCTGTGTGGCTTGTGGGATCTTAGTTCCCCGATCAGGGATCAAACCCAAGCCCTCAGCAGTGAAAGCATGGAGTCTTAACCACTGGACCTCCAGGGAATTCCCAAAACATGTCTCTTTACTACTACTAGAATCACACTAACTCAAACAAGATGCTCACACATACGGACACAAGTGAGAATCAATAGCTGGAACACAAGTTTGCATTTCTCATCTCATGCTTACTACCCAACATTATGATTACTGAATGAAAAAGTAGATTGCCTTCATTATTTACATTATCCCCCCAACACACACACACAGATACGTGAATGTGCACAAGTTAAACAGGCATGATAAGGGACTTCCCTCGTGGTCCAGTGGTTAAGACCGTGCGCTCCCAATGCAGGGGGCCCAGGTCTGATCCCTGGTCAGGGAACTAGATCCCACATGCACGCTGCAACTAAGAGTTCGCATACCACAACTAAGGAGCCCACCTGCCACAACTAAGACACAGCACAACCAAATAAATAAATATATATTTTTTAAATAGGCGTGGTAAGACTCCAAACTGCCAAACTAAGCCAAATTCCCAAATCATGTTCCAATGAATAAAATAAACACCCTGAATGACAGAGCCTGGAACATTGGCAATAGAAACAGAGATAGCTAAAGGAATAAGAGTAGTCAGAAATCAGGTTCTGGCCCTTCCAAAACTTTTTTTTTCCTGGAAATTGCTTCCTACCTCAAATGTGTTAACTTCACCCTTCATTAGAAAAGCACTAAAATTGCAACTTGGTTATAAATAAATACACACAGCAGTATACAGGAATGGATTTTTTTTTTTTTTTTTTTTGCGTTACGCAGGCCTCTCACTGTTGTGACCTCTCCCATTGCGGAGCACAGGCTCCGGATGCGCAGGCTCAGCGGCCATGGCTCACGGGCCCAGCCGCTCCGCGGCATGTGGGATCTTCCCGGACTGGGGCACAAACCTGTGTCCCCTGCATCGGCAGGCGGACTCTCAACCACTCCGCTACCAGGGAAGCCCGTACTTCTGGACTCTGTATTCTGCTTCACTGGTCTGTCTGCCTCTGTGCCAATAAGACCCTGTTTTTATCATGAAGCTTTAAGCTCTTGATGTCTGGTAACGTTAAGCCCAACTTTGTTTTTCTTTTGTTAAAAATATTTATTTATTTATTTACTTACTTACTTATTTATTTAGGCTGCCCTGGGTCTTAGTTGCGGCTTGTGGGATCTTCACTGCAGCATGTTTAGTTGCGGCATGCAGACTTCTTAGTTGTGGCATGTGGACTTCTTAGCTGCAGCATGCGTATGGGATCTAGTTCCCTGGACAGGGATCAAACCTGGGCCCCCTGCACTGGACCACCAGGGAAGTCCCCAACTTTGTTTTTATTCATCAAAATTACCTTGGTTATTCTCGGGTACTCTTTTTTTTTTTTTTAATTTCCACTTATGTTTTAGGATCAGCATATCAATTTACACAAGAAAACTTTATAAAATTTTATTGGAATTATGTTGAATTTATAGAAACTTTGGGGAGAATTGAGATCTTGACAATATTAAGTCTTCCAACCCAGAAACATGATATACTCCATTATTTATTTAGGACTTCTTTAATTTCTCACAGTAATTTTTGTAGTTTTCCACACAGATGTTTTGTTCATTTTTAGATTTTTCCCCCCTGGTTATCTGATGATGTTACTATTAAAATGAAAATTTTTAAATGTCATTTACTAATTGTTGCTAGTATATATAGTTAACTTTCATATACTACGTCTTGCATACAGCAACATTTCCAAATTCATTTATATATTCTAGTGATTTTCTGCAAACAAAATATATTTGAGAATAATGACAATTTTCTTCCTTCCTTTCCAATAATTATACTTTTTATTCTTTTTCTTGCCTTACTGAAGTGGCTGTGATCTTCTCTAGTACCAATAATTGTAATGAAAGACATCTTTTTCTCTTTCCCGTCTCAGAAAAAGCTGTCACTCTAATCATTGATTACCATATTTACTATAGGGCTTTCCCCTGCCTTTTTAATTTTCTAAAGTTACTTTGTTACACGCTATAAAATACCTCAGCTTTGCACATGCATGGTTTTAACAACATCTCTTTAACATTTGCTTATTTCCCCTTTTAAAAACATTAAATATAAGTGCAGATAGTACATAGAGTTCCCATATATTACTGCCATTTTGAGAAACACATAACACACACGCAGTTTCCCCCATTATTAACATCCTGCATTAGTGTGGCACATTTGTTACAATTAATAAATTAAGACTGACACACTGTTATTAACTAAAATCCATAGTTTATGATAAGGCTCACTCTTTGTATTGCACTATTCTACGGATTTGACAATATATCCACCATTATAGTATCATATAGAATAGTTTACCACCCTAAAAATCACCTGTGCTTCACCTGTTAATCTCTTCTATCCTCCTATGAACCTCTGGCAATGACTGCTTTTCTTTTTTTTTTTTTAATAAATTTATTTATTTATTTTTGGCTGTGTTGGGTCTTTGTTGCTGCACACGGACTTTCTCTAGTTGCGGTGAGCAGGGGCTACTCTGTTGCGGTGTGCAGGCTTCTCACTGCGGTGGCTTCTCTTGTTGCAGAGCACAGGCTCTAGGCACGCGGGCTTCAGTAGTTGTGGCACACAGGTTCAGTAGTTGTGGCTTGGGGGCTCTAGAGCGCAGGCTCAGTAGTTCCGGCGCACGGGCTTAGTTGCTCTGCGGGATGTGGGATCCTCCTGAACCAGGGATCAAACCCGTGTCCCCTGCATTGGCAGGCGGATTCTTAACC